GAAGCATTGGGCGGGCCCACAGGCCAGGACGAAACTGCTCTGATAACCATGTTAAAATGAACGATAGGAAACTAAGTTTTAACTAGGGCCTAGGCTTAGGAGCCTAGGCCCAACTTAGTATCGAGCGGGTTTTGTGCCTAGGGAGGAGATCGAGTTCGAGTTGAGAAGAGAAGAGAAGTGGTTTCACTATAGAGCAAGCAGTACATATAGGCAAGATGAAAGGTGCACCACCAAAACAGAACATTATATAACTACACTAGTCTACACTACAGGCAATTACAAAACAATATATAGATTTATATATTATTCTGACAAGTACAAGCACACATTTATATAGATTCTACGCACAGGCAAGGGCAGGCACAAAAGAGTTGTTCAACGAATCCAAAAGATTTCGCCACGCTGTATTTGAAAACGGTTGCTCAACTCCCTGAGCATTTGGCTTTATCCTCCTCTTGTTTACACCTAGTTCGTGGTATTTTAACCGCCGCTATCGTAACCACGCGAGGGTACTTCTCCTTTATCAAACTTATTTAGTCAGGTTGTTTCAAACTTTACGAGGGTAGAATCTAGCATTCCCTTCGCGAGATAACAGTAGAAAAAACTCAGTGAATGCCGAGTAGACAAATGTCACTCCGTCTATCTTGGAGCACTAAGTGTGAGCTCCCTTGACGGAAGTGCTTTCGGCTGCAGAATCGTAGCCTCGATGACTCTGGGTGCTAAGCACATTACCCAGAAACGAACAAAGGGGGTTGAAAGAACAAAGTTCACCTGGTTAAAATACCGCGGACTAGGTGTAAAACCGTCTTCAAAACTGTATCTCTCAACGGAAACGGGGGTGACGCTCCGTTTTGCCAGGGGTGACGCTCGGGGGTGGCGCTTTCGGGAGCGTCACCCTGACCCGGGCAGAAAAAACTAAAACCCCATCGGGATGGCATGCACCGTTCGGGAGCCTAAACCCTAAAATTTTAGGGTTGAGGCTCCCGAACGGCGTGCCATCCGTCCGGGGTTTATTTTTTTTGCCCCGGGCAGTTTGTCGTCTTGTCGGAGCGGCTTTGTCGCTAGCGCGCCCGCTACGTTCCGTTGAGATATACTAGGCTGTACTTGTAACAGTTGCCCCTGCTGACTCAAATGTGTGCACTCATGAGACTCGCATGTGGCTCCAATGTCTTCATGCGAGCTCACAGTTGTATAACGGTTTTTACCGTTTGGAAAACGGAGTAACCGATTTGCACCAGTGTCGAAATGATTCCGCAAAGCGAAATGACTTTCGCGAGAAATTTCCTGTCCCGTGAGTCAACTCGAAAAACATTTTTTCAACTATAATTTTCGAGTACCCTTCGGAATCTCGCAGCACCCCTGAAACACACGCGCACCCCCTCAGGTGCGCAATCATGCACGACCAGACAAACTGGTCGTGCTGTACTGCGCGTGGGCAGGGCGATCATTCGCCCTGTCGTGTTGCGATCGTGGGCCTTGCCATGCTCGCAACAGTGCGCGAGCACACGCTCGGGCCCTTAGGGCCCACACGCGAAATCAGGACCACAAGCGCGGTCAAGATTGCGCGTGCTTGACCAGCGTGAAATTCAGCAGCACCCCCTTTGACCAGTCAAAGAATCGAGCCCCACAGAAACGCCCCACGGTACACACGATGCCCGTTTGACTAGCCCAAGGTCGCCTTAGGAAGACGGCGCTTAAGCGGTTCTTGCATTTCGTTAAGTTTTCGTCAATTCGCACCTAGCAAAAAGGGCTTTTAAAGTATATTTGTAACTCGCTGTTGACCGTTTGACATGAGTCCCTTCTGTCAAACTTCGGTTTTTGTGGTTCGTATTGCTCAAGGTGCTTATAAATAGGTGCAACTGGCTGGTACCCTGATACATGGGTGCAGAGTTTCCATCGCGACAAGAGCAAATTTGCGAGCAGGGGTTGGGCATCTTGTGTACACTACTCGCTCGCATACGCCACGCATGAAACATAAGCAGCAAATGGGACCTTCATGGGAGGCTCATTTGAGGCTCATTGGAGCTTCATGAGAGCACTTCATGTGAGTCTCATTTGAGCGCATCATGTGAGTCTCATTTGAGCGCATCATGAGAACAGTGAACACGAAACTGAAAATGCACAAACACAAAATGCAATTACAAATGAAAACAAAACACACAAAATGCAAGGACGAATGCACACAGAACACACAAATAAAATGCGCACACACAAAATGCAAAATGAAATGACATTTCTCACGCCACAAATTAACTTCAAACAAAACTCCCCATTTTATTTTACCGTCGTCAAATAGGCGGCAGGTTGACGTGCAAATAAATATTTGCACCCAACAGCGTTGGAATGTCGTACTTCTCCTTTATTGAAGCATAAAAAACCATTGTGTTGCATGCGTAAATTTCAATATTTCTACAAAACATGTGTTGCATTCCGGATGAATCCTTGCAAGTTCTGTTCAACGAAGAGAAAAACGGCACGTTTTCGTTTGGATGGTGACTTCTCGCAGACGATTTAAACATTCATCCCTTTTACGCATAATGGTTGTAAGCTCAATCATTTGAAATGACCCACACATTACCTTCAATGTGCGTATCACACATTACCTTCAATGTGCGTATCATGACAAATCGAGTCCGTAAACCAATATTGGTCGGCAACAGGTGGCAATTGAAACAAGTCACCAACAAGGATCATATACAACCCACCAAAAGGAGTATGTTGTGCGATCGGACGATAAGTTAAAATGGTTCTATTTTAAGAAACATATATCATCAACGCATAATGAATGGTATACCCGCTGATATTGAATGCGGCAATACCAGACAGAGCCAGTTTCAAAACCTTTAAAGAATGAGGCTTTGTATTCACAGATGCATTAAACATTCGAGAAATTTGCTAGGTGACAATGGTGATTAGAACTGATTTGCCGACCCCTGCTCCGCCTGTTATAAGCATATGTAATGGCTGTTTTCCGAACCGAATGTGGTGTACAATATGATCGCTGACAGAGCGCTGCTCGGCATTCAAACCGAACTCCAATTTCATGTACTTAGAGTCATCAACGGCGACATGGATAAAAAGGTCAACAACTTTAGTTTTTCGTTGCTCCATGTTAATCCCATTTTCGATATCGATTTGTTCGTCACTCTCATCAGAGTGTTGTTCAAGGTCATTCTGCTCAGCCTCTTCGAAAGTTAACGCCCAAGAGTCTTGGCCCGTTGTGTATTCGGATTCTTTAGCCACTATGATGTCTTTATGCTTTATATAAGTATCTAAAAAATATGTCGGATTCATTGGTTCCACCCTGAATGGAAAAAAAGAAAACCGCGCTCCATTTTATAGTTGCATGGTTCTTGTTCTTTATGGTAACTGACGAATCTTATTATCTTGCTTTTCCTACGTTGAGAGTAATACCTATTCTTTTCCGACAAATCTGGACCAATTAGGCCAATGTTGTCCGCAGGGTTCGTACACAGCGAAATCTCAAACCTTGAAACAAAATCAGCTATACAAGCAGATTCCATGGCATCAGGTCTTTTTATGTATCTCTCCAACAAAGCATAGGGTTGATAGATATTTGTGCTATCTGAATCTAAGGCTTGCAATTCATTGAGTGTCTTTAAAGTTAACAATCGTTCAGAATGAGGAGCTGTATTTACAAAGAATACTTGTCGTGTTAACATGCGATTCTCAGAATCCCAACCACTAGACCATTGGGATAAAAGGGCTTGTTTCAGTAGCGGGTCAGTGCGCCCATAACCCCCCAGGCAAATGTGCCTGTAACCCTTCCCTAGGATCGATCGGGGATCACCAGTGGACCTCTGACACCCCCCCGCACTGGGATGCCCGAAGTGCATACACCGGGATTCGAACCCGAGACCTTCGCTCTGGATACCATCTCAGAATCCCAACTGTCAGAACATATCTATAGCTTATACTGCTGTGTAGGCTGTAGTGGGGTATCCCATAGGGGGTACAACCCAGTTAGGGTTTCATATTTGTACTGCTTTCATTCATAGTTCATTCATTCATGTTTTCCTATTCTCACATGGTATAGAGCGGGTCCTACCTTAGGACCGTTGTCTGGGCCCACCGACGCGCGCCCCGAGGCGCGCCCTTTTTTTTTTAGCGACCCCTCGGGTCGCCTTTTCACTCGCGGCCCCGCCGCCTCCTCTGACGCGGCTTTGCCGCCTCCCCTGACGCGGCCCAGCCGCCTCCCTTGACGTGGCCCCGCCGCCTCCTTTAACGCGGCCCCGCCGCCTCCCTTGACGCGGCCCCGCCGCCTCCCTTGACGCGGCCTCGCCGCCTCCCCTGACGCGGCCCCGCCGCCTCCATTGACGCGGCCCCGCCGCCTCCCCTGACGCGGCCAAGCCGCCTCCTCTGACGCGGCCCCGCCTCTGCTGCCGACGGCCCCGCCGCTGCACTCTACGGCCCGCCGCTGCACCCTGCCGGCCCGTCGCTGCTCCTGCCGGCCCGCCGCTGCACCCTGCCGGCCCGCCGCTGCTCCTGCCGGCCCGCCGCTGCACCTACCGGCCCGCCGCTGCACCCATCGGCCCGCCGCCTCTTACGGCCCGCCACTTGCACCTGCCGGCCCGCCGCTGCACCTGCCGGCCCGACGCTGCACCTGCCGGCCCGACGCTGCATCTCCCGGCCGAGCCGCCCCAGCAGCCGAGCCGCCCGGGACCCGAGCCGCCCTGCCGCCGAGCCGCCCGGGAGCCGAGCCGCCCTGCACCCGAGCCGCCCAGCCGCCGAGCCGCCCGGGAGCCGAGCCGCCCTGCACCCTAGCTGCCCAGCCGCCGAGCCGCCCGGGAGCCGAGCCGCCCTACGCCCGAGCCGCCCAGCCGCCGAGCCGCCCGGGAGCCGAGCAGCTGTGCACCCGAGCCGCCCGGTCGCTGAGCCGCCTTTCTGCTGACTGCACGACCTGCCCTGCCTGGTGAGCACTGTCCCACTGACACTGCGAGCTCTTTCCCTACTGCTTGCACTGCGTCGCTGTCGTCACCATGGCTACCCCTAGTGTCCTAGCTTTTGACGCTGAGGGTCGCGCCATTGATTTTGAGGTCTGGTTAGACGACCTGCAGCTGTTCTTACAGTGCGACAGGGCTGACGACCTTTCTCTCTTTGACCTCACCTCTGGCGCCTCTCCTGCCCCTGCTGCTGATGCTGATCCCGCTGTCCGCTCTAAGTGGGCCACCCGCGATGCTGCTGCACGTCTTGCTGTGCGTCGCCACCTCCCTACCTCTGAGCGTGCGCACTTCAGTCAGTACAAGAGTGCTCAGACCTTGTACGACGCTGTAGTTGCGCGCTACTCCTCCCCTGCCACTGCTGCACTGAGCCGTCTCATGCTTCCCTACCTCTTTCCTGACCTCTCTGCCTTTCCCACTGTCGCTGACCTCATTACGCACCTCCGCACTAGTGACACTCGCTACCGCGCCGCCCTTCCTGCTGAGTTCTGCGCTAAGAACCCCCCCCCCATGTACATCGCTCTCTACTACGTAGTCGCACGCCTCCCTGACTCCCTTCGCGTCGTCAGGGACCACTTTCTCGCAGTCTGTCCCACCACTCTCACCGTCGACCTCCTCGAGAAGGCCCTCCTTGCAGCGGAGAAGAGCATAGTCGCTGTAGGTGCTTCTCGTGGTGACCCTCGCACCCCCATCTTTGAGGGGTGCTCTCCTTCCCCCTTGCTGCCCTCTGTTGCCTCTGCTGCTGCTGCCGACCTGCTTGGTCTTGAGTCGGTCGGCGCGGCGTCTGCCCCTAGTGGGAGACGTCGCTCCAGCAAGGGCAAGGGGGGCAAGGGCGCGGGTGGAGCTGGAGGGGGCGGTGGCGGTGGCGGCGGTGGCGGCGGAGGGAGTGGGGGTGGCGGCGGGGCTAGTGGCGGGGGTGGTGGTGGTGGTGGCGGCAGCAGCGGCGGAGACGGTGGTGGTGGTGCCAGCGGTGGTGGTGGAGGCAGCGGCGGAGGTGGAGGCGGCGGAGGTGGAGGCAGTGGAGGCGGCAGCGGAGGAGGCAGTAGTGGTGGAGGAGGTGGAGCTGGTCGGGGTGGTACCCAGCAGCGTAGCGGCGGTGGTGGTGGCCAGCGCTCGCACCGGCAGCAGCAGCAGCGCTCGCGGGACATCCCTTCGCCTCAGCAGCTTCGTGAGTGGTACGCTGGGCGTCAGAGGGGTGGGGGTACTGGTCCCTGCACCTACGTTCTTCGTTCCGGCGACCGCGCGGGTGAGCAGTGTGGGGGTGCCCACGCCACCCAGCGCTGCTTTGGCCGCCTGACGGACGCTTGGCGTCAGCAGTTCCCTGGGGCTAGTGAGATCCCTCGCTGGGATGAGCTTCTCAGGGCTGGTGTAGCGATCTTTGATCTTGATTTTGATGCTATCCTTACTGCTATGTATGTTGTGGATTATAGTGAGGAGAATGAGGGTTACCGGTGTTTTCAGCCCGACCCGGGCATTGGTACTGCTGCGCTAGGTGCTTGTGAGGCTGCTGCTCTAGGTGCCAGTGCGTCTGCGCTCTCAGGTACTGGTGAGACTGCGCTCTCAGGTACTGAGTCGTCCTCGTCCTCCCTCACTTTCACACTTGACTCCGGAGCTTCTCGCTCCTTCTTTCGAGACCGCACTACCCTTTCGCCGCTCGCCAGGCCGGTTGCGGTCTCCCTTGCTGACCCCTCTGGGGGTCCTGTCCTGTCTCACTTCTCCACTGTCCTCCCGTGTCCGGCTGCCCCTTCGGGCACCCTGTCGGGTCTGTACCTTCCCTCGTTCTCTACGAACTTGGTGAGTGGAGCGGACCTGCAGGATGGGGGTGTTCACCAGTTCACTCCTGCGCGTCAGAGGGTGACCCACTGCACGGAGGCTCGCACAGGCCGACACCTGGCCACGTTCTCACGTCGGCCGGGGTCGAGTCTCTACACCCTGACCGTTGAGTCTCCTCCTGTCCCTGCGTCTGGTCAGGTGGCTGCGTCGGGTCAGGTACTTGCTGCTGCGTCCCGGTCAGGTCCTGAGTCTGCCCCCTGTTCTTGTCGCCTCCTGTCTCACGAGACTCTCCTGTGGCACCACCGTCTTGGCCACCCCTCCTTGCCCCGTCTTCGGAGCATGGCTTCCCGTGTCCTTGTCTCTGGTCTTCCCCAGTCTCTCCCTCCTCTCCCCTCCGGGCCAGGACCTTCCTGTGTCCCCTGTGTCGAGGGTCGCCTCCGGGCTACTCCTCACTCCTCCCACTTCCCCCCGACAGAGGCTCCCCTGCAGACGCTTCACATGGATGTGTGGGGCCCAGCCCCCGTCCGTGGGCAGGGTTACGAGCGCTACTTCTTGTTGGTGGTTGACGACTACTCGCGTTACACCACAGTCCTCCCCTTGCGCAGCAAGGGTGCGGTCACTGAGGTGCTGATCGACTGGATCCGCGAGGCTCGTCTCCAGCTCAGGAAGAGCTTCGGCTCGGACTTTCCTGTTCTGCGTCTGCACTCTGACAGAGGCGGAGAGTTCTCTTCTCGCCTTCTGCGAGACTACTGTCGTGCACGGGGGATCCGCCAGACCTTCACGCTTCCGGACTCACCACAGCAAAATGGGATTGCTGAGCGCCGCATTGGCATGGTCATGGATGTCGCTCGTACGTCCATGATGCATGCGGCTGCCCCCCATTTTCTGTGGCCGTTTGCGGTGAGGTACGCGGCGCATCAGCTCAACCTTCACCCCCGGGTCTCTCGGCCAGCGATGTCCCCAGCCTTGCTGTGGACGGGGAAGGTTGGCGATGCGTCTGTGTTCCGTGTCTGGGGATCTCGGGCGTTTGTCCGCGACTTGTCTGCGGACAAGCTGTCCCCTCGTGCTGCTCCCTGTGTCTTCCTTGGCTTCCCCACTGACGCCCCAGGGTGGCAGTTTTACCACCCCTCCTCTCGTCGTGTTCTGTCCTCCCAGGACGTCACGTTCGACGAGTCAGTCCCCTTCTACCGTCTCTTCCCCTACCGCACTCCTTCCCTCCCCCCTCCCCCGGACTTCCTTGTGCCGGTTCCCCCCCCGGTAGACCCCCTCCCCCCTCAGGTTCCTGCCCCCTCAGGTGTGTCCCAGGTAGACGCCGTTGACCCGGTCGAGGTTACTGGTGACTCTGGTGCTGCTGCGGGTGCTGAGCCTGGGGGTGCTGACTCTGGGGGTGCTGTGCGCGGGGGTGCTGAGCCTGGGGGTGCTACTGCTGGGGGTGCTGGGCCTGAGGGTACTACTGCGGAGGGTGCGGAGCCTGGGGGTGCTGAGCCGGGGGGTGCTGTGCCTGGAGGTGCTGGGTCTGGGGGTGCTGGGTCGAGAGCTGCTGAGCCTGGGGGTGCTGCGTCTGGAGCTGCTGAGCCTGGGGTTTCTCCTGCTGCTGCGTCTCGCCGGGAGCCCCTCTCTCCACAGGAGCTGCGCGAGTGGTTCGCTCGCCGCTGGAGGCGTGCTGCTGAGTCTGGAGGTGCTGCTGGAGCTGGAGCTGGAGCTTCTTCGACCGTCGAGGGTGCGGGTGCAGCCGGTCCCGGAGCTGCTGGCCCTGCAGGTCCTCCTGGAGCTGGAGCTGCTGAGGGCGTTCGTGCTGAGCCTGCTGCTGTTGGTCCTGCCGCTGGAGGTGTGGGTGGCGCTGGTGCTGTCGCTGAGGGTGCTGGTGCTGTCCCTGCTGAGTCTGGAGCTGCCGCGCGGCCTCGGCCGTACTTCGTTCCGCTCCTTCAGCAGGTTCTTGGTCTTTCTCCTCCAGTAGAGGGTCCACCGCCTGTCCAGTCGCAGCCCCTACTGGAGCCTTCCTCTCCGCTGCCTGCTCCCTCTCCTTACACTGGTCCTACTGGAGGTCTTGCTGAGCGTCGTGAGCCTGCGTCTCGTCCCGCGTCGCCCGTTCGTGCTGCTCGCGCTAGTGGTCGCAGTTCGCGTCAGCGTCCTCCTCCTGTCCCTGGCACGCACCGGATGTCTTTACGTCCGTCCACTGCTCCTCTGCGTGCCCCTTTGCCTTCTCCTCCTGAGTCCTCTCTTCCTGCGCTTGCGGACCCTGAGTCGGACTCTCTTCGTGCTGCCAGTCCCACTGTCACGCGTCTGCTTGCTACTGTCGTCACTGACCCCTCTTTTGAGTCCACTGCTACGTCTGCTCTAGTCGCTGAGCTCGTCGACTTTGCTGCTCGCTGTCGTCTCGACTACGCTGCTAGTCTTGTTGCTGAGTCTGCGTCTGTCTGTCCTCCGTCCGTCGGGGGTGAGTGTGCTCTTGGCACGGACGTCCTAGAGGACAGGCAGGAGGAGTTACAGTGTCTAGCGGCTGCTTCACCTCATCTCGCGTCTGTACTGCTTGCCCCTGAGGGAGACCCGGATGCACTAGACATCCCGACTCCGCGTTCTTACGCGGAGGCCGTAGAGGGTCCCTACTCCTCTCAGTGGCAGGCAGCTATGGATGCAGAGATGGCTTCCTGGAAGTCCACAGGCACCTACGTTGACGCGGTTCCCCCTCCTGGGGCGAACATCGTCAGTGGCATGTGGATCTTCAGGGTGAAGCGGCCGCCGGGCTCTCCACCTGTCTTCAAGGCACGGTACGTTGCTCGTGGCTTCAGTCAGCGGCAGGGAGTTGACTACTTTCAGACCTTCTCTCCCACCCCGAAGATGACTACTCTTCGGGTGCTGCTGCACATAGCCGCTCAGCGCGACTACGAGCTTCACTCTCTCGACTTCAGCACTGCGTTCTTGCAGGGTAGCCTGCACGAGGAGATCTGGCTTCGCCGTCCACCTGGCTTCACTGGGACTTTCCCTCCTGGCACCCAGTGGAGCCTCCGACGGCCAGTCTACGGTCTCCGCCAGGCACCGCGTGAGTGGCACGACACACTGAGGACTACGCTTGCGGCTCTTGGGTTTGCTCCTTCTACTGCTGACCCGTCGCTGTTTCTTCGCACCGACACTTCCCTGCCGCCGTTCTACATCCTCGTGTACGTCGACGACCTGGTCTTTGCCACAGCGGACACTGCTGGACTCGCCTACGTGAAGTCCGAGCTGTTGAAGAGACACACGTGCACAGACCTGGGTGAACTGCGCAGCTACCTTGGCTTGCAGATCACTCGGGACAGAGCACGCCGCACCATTACCTTGACTCAGTCACACATGGTGCAGCAGGTCCTTCAGCGCTTCGGCTTCACGTACTCCTCGCCTCAGGCCACTCCTCTGCCTACTCGCCACTCACTCTCAGCTCTGCCTTCGGATGAGTCCGTAGAGTCGAGTGGTCCGTATGCGGAGCTTGTTGGCTGCCTCATGTACCTGATGACCTGCACACGACCTGACCTTGCATACCCTCTGAGCATTCTTGCACGCTATGTTGCTCCTGGGAGACACAGACCGGAGCACATGGCTGCAGCGAAGAGGGTATTGCGCTACCTGTGCAGTACGTCAGGCATGGGGCTAGTGCTTGGAGGGCGGAGTCCAGTGGTCCTTACCGGCCACGCGGACGCGTCTTGGGCTGACGACCAGGCTACGCAGCGGTCGTCACAGGGTTACACCTTCAGCCTTGGTTCCGGCTCTGTCTCGTGGCGGTCTACTCGCTCGTCTTCGGTTCTCGGCTCCAGTTGTGAGGCTGAGATCTACGCCGGGGCCATGGCTGCACAGGAGCTTCGCTGGCTCACCTACCTGCTGACTGACCTTGGAGAGCCGCCTCGTTCTCCTCCAGTGCTGTACGTAGACAACAAGGCTATGCTGGCCTTGTGTCGAGAGCAGCGCTTGGAGCACAGAACGAAGCACATTGCTCTCCGCTACTTCCTTGCTCGTGAGCTGCAGCAGCGTGGTCAGTTGCGACTTGCGTACGTGGCCTCTGAGGCCAACACTGCTGATGTGTTCACCAAGGCACTTGCGCCTTGTGACCATCAGCGCTTCTGCACCCAGCTGGGTCTTGTGCCTGTCTTGCCTCACTTGCTCTCCTCTTGACTTCACTTGTACTGTGACATATATATATACCTGCTCTTGCTTGTCTAGCTTTATATATATGTCTGTACTCTTGCTTGTGAACTGGCCTTTGGCCTTGCTCTTGTGCTCGGACTGTGTGGTGACTTTGTGATCCACCCTGAGCTTTGCTTTGTCTTGCTTGACTGGTCTTGTGACCCCTTGTTCTCCCCCACTTTGCCTATGGGGGTGTGTCAGATCATATCTATAGCTTATACTGCTGTGTAGGCTGTAGTGGGGTATCCCATAGGGGGTACAACCCAGTTAGGGTTTCATATTTGTACTGCTTTCATTCATAGTTCATTCATTCCTGTTTTCCTATTCTCACACCAACCACTAGACCATTGGGATAAAAGGGCTTGTTTCAGTAGCGGGTCAGTGCGCCCATAACCCCCCAGGCAAATGTGCCTGTAACCCTTCCCTAGGATCGATCGGGGATCACCAGTGGACCTCTGACAGCGATACCGTAGTCCAGGTAGTACATAACAAGCTTCTTGTGCACTAGTCTCTTGTGAGTTAAGCATTGCATTTCTAAGGACCCGCAGCATTGTGAAACTAACAGAACAGGAATGAATTGACTAAGTCAGAGTTGGGAACAAATACAACCCTAGCAAACTGTACCCCATATGTGCTACCCCACTATAGCCTACAAACATGCATCAGCCATAATAATCTGACACACCCCCATAGGCAAAGTGGGGGAGAACAAGGGGTCACAAGACCAGTCAAGCAAAGCAAAGCAAAGCAAGCTCAGGGTGGATCACAAAGTCACCATACAGTCCGAGCACAAGAGCAGGGCCAGAGGCCAGTTCACATGCAGGAGTACAGACATATATATAACAAAGTACAAGGAAAGTCAAGAAGAGAGCAAGTGAGGCAAGACAGGTACAAGACCCAGCTGGGTACAAAAGCGCTGATGGTCACAAGGCGCAAGTGCCTTGGTGAACACATCAGCAGTGTTGGCCTCAGAGGCCACGTAAGCAAGTCGCAACTGACCACGCTGCTGCAGCTCACGAGCAAGGAAGTAGCGGAGAGCAATGTGCTTCGTTCTGTGCTCCAAGCGCTGCTCTCGACACAAGGCCAGCATGGC